CAACTGTTATATAATTTGACACTAATTAATAAGGGTAAAATACCTGACAGAGTACCTTACACTCTTATATTATTTGACACCAATAAACTAATTAACACCTGATAGCCATTTTATAATTTTTATAAAATATATGTGAATAAAACCCTTTGGCATTTATGTTGTTCAAATTAGCATAAACTGTTATTGACCCGTCGACCTGGAAAAAATGGATCATTTACAATACGATTTAGTTATTAGTAAGTACCGAACATATGCATACGTTTTCGTGGAATTTATTTCGCGATTTTCCTTTGCCCGCCAAAATAAGCAAAAATAAACACACCGCTAAAATAACCCACTATACGATATTGTTCAGCAACACCAACCCCACTAACAAAAATGAAAATGAACTCATAAAGGGTAAGCAGTACATGATCAACCAATTATTTGTATTGTTATAAACAGATGGAATGAGAGATCATTGAGCAATTTGCGCAAAACTCCCCAAAAAGGTAATAAAAAAATCATCATTTAAGGGCAATCTCTCCTATCAATAGCCTATTAATGATTTCTGTAAAATTCAGTTGACCATGCAAGGGTTGTATAGCCAGTCGAGGTCGTTAAAAACTTCCATTTGTTGTTGCAAAATTCAACTTGTTTTTGGATCTTGCTTTGTTGATCTTTTTTGCTATTCAAAGTTTCCTTGTTTTATAGTTTTCAAGACAATGGACAAAAACAAAGAAAAAATTGATTAAACAACAAGAATTCCAATAAGGAGTCGAGAGACGATTCTGGATATGTTAAGTTACTTGTAGATCTGGTCTTGCTGATCATTTTTGCTGTAAAAGTTTTTATCCATGTATGATAGATTTTAAGATACTAGATAGAAATGCCAAAAAAATGGTAAAAATCTTCATTAAAGGGCAATAACTCTGATGAGTTGTTTGACGATTTTGGCAATGCTGACTTGTTTGTGATTTCTGTTTTGTTACTTTAAGTTCTCTTTATCTATTATACATTTTTAGTATCTTGAAAAAAGCTTTAACTTGATAAGGGACAGATGGAGCAGAAAACATATTTTTCGTATTGTAGGTGGGTCTGAATAATGTGTTTCATGATCAATAACAACCATTGTGGGAAAGCAGCAAATATCAATTTTGAAGTACATATATGAACCCACAATTTCCATCTACATTTTTACACCTATGTTTTATTTTTAGCAATGACGCCCATAATTACTTTACAGAACATTCTTGCTGCTTACAATTATCTCTACCTATAATGAACTTGGCCCAGTAGTTACAGCGGTAAATATTTTGTAAAAAGTTACAAAAACTTACAAAATTGTTAAAAATTGTTAAAAATTAACTATAAAGGGCAATAACTCCTTAAAGAGTCACTTGACCATTTTAGTCATGTTGACTTATTTGTAGATCTTACTTTGCTGAACATAATTGCTGTTTACAGTTTATCTCTATCTATAATAATATTCAAGATAATAATCAAAAACAGCAAAATTTCCTGACAATTACCAATTCAGGGGCAGCAACCCAACAACGGGTTGTCTGAATGGTCTCAAAATTTTAGGGCAGAAAGGAATTGACATAATGAACAATTTTATCCTGTTAGATTTGCTCTAAATGCTTTGGTTTCAGTGATATGAGCCAAAAACTGCGTTCTACCCTATATACTATTTTTAGCCATGTTGGCCATCCTTGTTCGCGGGCGGGGTCATCGGACACAATTTAAAAATTAGGTACCCTAATGATGGTTGTGGACAAGTTTGGTTAAATTTGTTTTAGTAGTTTCAGAGGAGAAGATTCTTGTAAAAGATAACAAAAATTTACAAAAAAAATTTAAAAATTGACTATAAAGGGCAATAACTCCTTAAGGGGTCAACTGACCTTTTTGGTCATGTTGACTTATTTGTAGATCTTACTTTGTTGTACATTATTGCTGTTTACAGTTTATCTCTATCTATAATGATATTCAAGATAATAACCAAAAACAACAAAATTTCCTTAAAATTACCTATTCAGGGGCAGCAACCTAACAACGAGTTATCCGATTCAACTGAAAATTTCAGGGCAGATAGATCTTGACCTGATTAACAATTTTATCCCCATGTCAGATTTGCTGTAAATGCTTTGGTTTTATAGTTATAAGCCAAAATCTACATTTTTACCCTATGTTCTATTTTTTGCCATGGTGGCCATCTTGGTTGGTTGGCGGGATGGCCGGACACATTTTTTAAACTAGATACCCTAATAATGATTGTGGCTAAGTGTGGTCAAATTTGGCCCAGTAGTTTCAGAGGAAAAGATTTGTGTAAAAGTTTACGGACGACGGACACAGGACGCAGAACGACGGACGACGGACGCCAAATAATAAGAAAAGCTCACTTGGCCCTTTGGGCCAGGTGAGCTAAAAATATCATATATTTTTATATTGTCAAGGATGATGCGTTTATTTTCTTTAAAAAATATATATTCAAACGGTAGGTGTCGAACCATTGGCCTCATGTCACTATCTATATATTCCAGGAAACGTTCTCATATACATAGCATACAAACATAGCGGAATGCGATTTTCTTCCTTTGATCACGATGCAGATGACTCCCCCCTTAATTGTGCAGTGCAATACAAAGGAAGTTGGTGGTATTCCCATTGTCTGATCGCTAATTTGAATGGAAGATATTTATCGGGTCATCATGATTCTTTTGCTGATGGCATTGACGTCATTATATGGCACGGAACTCATTATTCACTGACGATAGTTACTATGATGATCACACAAATTAATCTGTAGAAAAAAAATGATATTGAACACGTTGGTCAACGTAACCATTTGTTCTGATAAAGAATATCAGAGAAACTTGTGTAATGCACTCAGAAAGCAATATATCACAAGTCGTACGACCGTCTGTCAGCTAGCTGATTGTTGACCCTCTGTGCCTGAGATTACCATCTGCCCAGTATCAAGTGTTTTGGTACAAGAATGATTTAGATGATATATTGTATCTGTAAATTTAAACTTCTTAAATTAGGTAATTTTTTTACATACAGTGAAAAATCCTCCGATACAACTAAACTCAAGTCTTATGCTCTGATTTCTCTTAAAATGTTTTAATTGTTTTGCTTTCTCAAACTTTTGGTTTTGATGAAAACTATTTTATTCCAAAACAAGCTGTGTTCGCTTTGAATGAGAACACACAGACAACAAAATGTTTGCAGTTTATTTGCCACTCTGCAAGAGAAACGTACCTTACATTCAACTGACAGTGTCGTCCTGATCTCCTTTGTTTTTACACAATAACGTGTTCGAGTCTCGTCATGTTGGAGGGAATCACCATTGCAAATATATTCATATTATAGATTGCAACGTAACAAGTTTTCATTATTTGAGGGCGTCGTGGCCAAGTGGGCTACGTAGTCCAACTACTGTATCACTTTCCTGTTAACACTGAGATTGTGAATAAGAATCCCACACGTGGCAGGTGCACTCGACTCCTATCTTTATTGACTTATATTCATTCAGGGCACTCAGGCTTTCTTCAACGATAAAACCTGACCACCACGAATTAGCAGTGCTGAAAGAGGCGTTAAACATCAATTAATCAATTAGTCAATCAATCTTCGTTATTTGTGCGGGATATATGTTCAATCGTCTCAATTTATTTGCACGAAATTCGTATGCATAATAGCTTGTCTGAAAATTGCTTCATCTTAACAGTGTTTTTTTCTATAGCTAAATATTAGTCGACCTTTTTTCTTTTCAACTTCTCTGATCTGGATGTATCATAAATGGTATGATTAATTGTTCTTATATTTTACTGTAACACCTCAGCTAGGGGAGGGTTGGTGCTTTCAAACATGTTAAACCCCTCCACTTTCTTTATGTTCACTGTCCCATATCAAGAGCCTTTATTTCAGTGCTTGTCGTTGGTTCATCTCTGACATAAATGTTTTATGGTAAATTATTTTCTAATAAATTAGGCAGTTAATTTCAATTGAATGGATAGTTGTCTCATTGGCAAGCATACCATATCTTCTTTTTGATATTGAACGCACGGTGTTAATAAAGAGGAAAGTAGGTAAGGATTGGTAATCTTCCTTTAAAATTTCTTACAGGGAAAATATATCGTCTAAAGTTCTGCAAGTATACATATATCTATGAACTGATGTACCATTTGGTCTACATGACGTTCAGCCACAACAGCGGATGTTTTTCCAATGATGAACCAATTGTTCAACGACGTTGCCTGCCGATTTACAACTTATGAATTTGATTCTTACAAGGCAAATATCCTGTTTTTACAAACGTCATACAATCATGAAAGAATTCTTGGGGGAAATCATTTAAATATAAAAACTAGAGCTGCTGAGGAATACATGGTATTCGACAAGTTGATGACATTTTGTAAAGTCAAACTAGTTTGTTTTATTCCACACTTCCTTTATTATTGGAATATTGTAAAGCCAATAAGTTCCTACAATTCCCTTAGCATACTTTTGCCTTTGTAGGTCATCTCTTTAAGTTCTGTGTAAAAGTGAAATTCTGTGTCATGAAAAGAAGCCGATGCAGTTGTTTCAATTTACATTGTTTAGGTTGTCTATCAAGTATGTTTCAGCTAGTAGGAGTATAACAAATAAAATCATATCAAACATTTCATCAAAATACCGGGCTGCAAGGTAGATTCAAAAAGGAGAAAGTCCATAAAATATTAAAGGAGCAACACGCCCGCTCATATCATCAAGTAGATAACTGCAAAACAACTCTCATATTCTTGACTTGGAACAGACATTTTACAAAGAAAACAATAGCTTAAACCTGGTTTTATAGCCACCTAATCCTCCCATTCAAACGAGTGTTGTTATTCTTATAGTGTTGAAAAAGCATCGGTGAAGACATCGTGCAGGTGCAGGAAACATTATAGATAAACACATCTCCAAAATCATTAGTATAACAAAATTTGAAAAGTTCTGACTATATGAATGATTTATTTATTGTAATTCTGATTTTATACAAGTGCTTCATTTAATGATACTTTTAATTTTTCCTCTAAATCACTAACTACAATAACATCTTCCATCTTTGCTGAAATGATCAGTTTTGGTAATTGACTTGTTTCCGAGTATGTGACAGCTTTAAATGTAGGTTTTGATAAACCTGCAATGATGAATATAATGAAATTTATTATTCTTTTATTCATACTAAGCAAGAGGTTCAGTCTACATTTGCTCATTCACTCTAGCATTATGGGCATAACGTTATACACATATTGGTAGGCGTTTTCAATTCTTTGTTTAAGTATTTTCAGTTTTTATGTTTCCCTTTTTTCAATACTTGTTTTGACCATTGGTTACGCAGTTTTGTCTTATGGTTTGAACATTTTAGCATTAACCTAAAGTCAATGTAAATATGATGAACAAAATGTGAAATGTAAATAGATTGTAATGAATATATCATCATTTATTTGTATTCTAAATTACGAATAATAAACAGAATCCCGTTAAATGCAATCATTGAAGTTTACATTTTATAAGCCACATATCATGTTTTTGTCTTTAAAGTGGTGGATCCCGAACTTTTGAAAAAATAAAATTTTAAAAAGTTTTTCTTATAGTTTTAGTAATAACTTTTATGTTATTTGGTCTTTGGTGGAGAGCTGTCTTATTGGCAAGCATACCACACGTTCTTATTTTTATATATGCATGCATCATCTGTCATGCAAATCCACACTAAGTCTAAAGTTACAATCGGGAATATCACACAACCAGTATAATTATATATCAGTTGACTGGTATCTATTGATCTAAGACCACAAAAACATGTAACTAGTTATTTAAAATATCGACACATCGTATCGGTTAAGTTATTCGTGATGATGATCGTCAAACTTATGCAGTGGCTTAACGTAAAGAAATATGAACAGAATGAAACATACCAAAAACATTTTTACCCGGCATCAATCGAGATCTTCTATCTAGTTTCCTCTGTTCGGTTTCTGATAAAAGCGAGGCAAAACTGTTTCCATCAAGAACAATTAACTTTACTAATTGAAGATATCGATTATTTTCATTTTCCAGCACGAGGTCTCGAATAATCTTTGATTGCCTTCGTAATGGTAATGTATCTACAGAAATGATCTAGAAAGTAATATGGTGATACAAAATAAGGAAACTTGTTTACACATCTTATGAAGTGGTAGCATACATGTAAATACTGCACAATAAGTATACATGTCTCAAACACTAAAATCAATAATGGGAGTACGTTTTTTCATAGTAATAGTTGGTTGTGTGTATAGATTTATTGCTTGATTGGAGTTTAACGCCAATTTCAGCAATGGTGTGTGCTGTTTCGTTGCGATCAGGTTTTATTGGTGGAGGAAGCCGGAGTGCGCGATGAGAATCATCTACCTTCGGTAGGAAAACTGACAATAAGTCAATTAGGATTGGAGTCGAACGCACCGCACCTGGCACGTGCGAAATTCGAACTCACAACCTTAGTGTTGACAGGCTAGTGATACAGTAGTTTAACTACTTAGCCCACTCGACCACCGAATCCCCACTGGTTTTTTTTTAATAAAACTACTTGCTTGTCAATTTACACATGGAAAGAATTCAAATTTGCTCTAAGCAAAATTTATATTAATACATCTTATCGTGTTGTTGTAAAATGCTCTCTTGGAGCAAGATGTACTGTATGCTATTATTCACTATGCAAATATATCGCGACTTATCATGCTTTCTTGAGGCTTGGTGTCATATCAAAGGAAATTCGTATTTGCAGTTACCGTTAAAAAAAACGACGTTAATGTCATACTTGGATAGGGAATATATAAGACAAAGTTGACCAGCAAACCATGAGAAAACGCATTATAAAGCGAGGCCTGCTCACATTTAGCTTAATAGGAATAATCAGAAAGCTCTGAATGGTTGTTCCTTTAAAAAAAATCAGATGCAAATTTCATTGGACGAACGGACGGGCGGTGATAAATAGTTTACCTCTTCCATAGGCAGCAGTATTTTACCAATATTCAAATGTCATAAATCCATTAAAAAAATAAATATCGCGTAAAAACTCGCATGAACTCAAAAAGGAGCGAGATAAGATTAGCCCTGCTTTGCATCAGCCGCTTTTAGAATCCCCACAAAAAGTGTCACAATCGGGAAAAGTATACACTCGGCAAATGTACTCATTAGACGACCATTTTTTCATTTTTACATTGACTAAAGAATTCACACCATGTCGTAAGTGAGTTAAGATACAGACCCATCGTATCGATCAAAATTATTTTAGATATTTTAATATCTACAATCCCGTCCCCTTTTCCCGAATGTGACCTACCGAATAAGACTTATTATCGGGTTTGTACTAACATAAGCAACACGACGGGTGCCACTTGTGGAGGATGATCTGCTTACCTTTCCGGAGCACCTGAGGTCACCCACAGTTTTTTGTGGGGTTCGTGTTGCTCAGTCTTTAATTTTCTATGTTGTGTTTTGTATACTATTGTTTGTCTGATTGTCTTTTTCGTTTTTAGCCATGGCGTTATTTTCGACTTATGAGTTTGAATGTCCCTCTGGTATGTTTCGCCTCTCTTAATAAAAGATCGAGGCATATATTGATGACTTTGTAGTAATATAAAGTGATAGAATTATAAATGAAAATTATGCCAGTCCGAAGAGAAAAACCCAACTCATTAAGCTGGATATAAACTGCCAAAATCGAACTCAACATATGCATGTACGTTATGGTAAGTGAAATTTTGTTGCAATCATGAAACATTATGTTACGTAGTACTTTAGATATAGGTTTCAAGGTTATCAAGGATGGTAACTTTAGATATAGGTTTCAAGGTTATCAAGGATGGTAACTTTAGATATAGGTTTCAAGGTTATCAAGGATGGTAACTTTAGATATAGGTTTCAAGGTTATTAAGGATGGTAACTTTAGATATAGGTTTCAAGGTTATCAAGGATGGTAACTTTAGATATAGGTTTCAAGGTTATCAAGGATGATAACATAACTCTTACACGGAAAAGTAAACCTGAAATGTATCTTAATGTTCATAACAGTAAATTGGGCTTAAATTGGTATAGATTTTTTCAAGAAGTATATTTATAATCACATAGAAAACCCACCAATTTCCAAGTCTTAAAGTTACTAAGGCTGATAAATCTTGAACTGTTTATACTAAAACCATCAAAATCCTAGATAAAGTTCCGTGACATTGTGCTAAGAAATATATTGTGGCAATCGGTATTTTAATTTTAATACGAAAACAAACGAAGTGATAATGCTTAAGGTGAAAAGGGCCGTTACTCTTGAACAGTCATATATAAACCTAAACAATCAAACTTGACCTGACCTGTAAATTTGATCGAGTGGCACTTAACCAACTCTTAACATACGATTAGTAAACTGTATAATTAATAAATATTGATTTTACCATCATTTTCCAGTAAAGAAATTGTAATTGTTGACAGCCTTTCCTCTAAAATAAACTCAAGGACTTTCCCCATGTTCCTTATATAATTAGTTTTATTTGAGCAAACTTTTATTGACCAGAAAGTACAGCCTTGTTTATCTTTTATCATTCCGTCCTTAATATTCTTCAGGACTGGACTAGCTGAAAATTTGAAAATATACATCGGTCATATAATTGGACATTATGTATACATGAAAAACACAAGCAAGATATATATAGTATTAATCAACGAGCAATTCATTGCACTGATGGTATTATGGCAGTTATGGACCAAGTGGTTATCTTCTCCTATCAATGTAAACCCAAGGAAAGTTAACGTCCATATAAATATTTGGAGAAGAAGAACAGTCCATAACTTGCTACTTGACCGGAAGTAATGTGTATTATTTGCTTTATCTTATTACTGTTTCTATGTTCAATCAAAAAGCAGCTTTCGTTTTCACCATAAAACATTTACATTTTAAGCGATATTTATGTTTCAGTTTTGTGTGTTCTCAACACAAAAGCTGCTTAAATAGAGTTATGGGGAAGAACGACTGAAATCGACAGAACATAAGTTCTGCGGTCATCATCAGGTATTGGTTGGCCGATACTGTGTCTTATTATCAATTCAGTATTGACATGCTTTCGTAGTCTTAGATCTTTAGATATCACAATAGTTGTTTTATCTGTAACTCAATCGAGTGTATCCTATTCCCATTACGACAATTCAAATTTGTGTGGATTAGCAGGGACGCTTACCCTGACGACGCACCCGCTTTCACTCCGTTTGGAGTTCATGCTTTTCCCTAAGATAGTGCTTGTTACATTGACTTGTCTTCTTAATCGATTGATTAGATTTGAACATCGGTAAGATATTGTTGCTCTGATGTATATAATCAAACAACACAATAAATGCAATAATAAAAATGCAACTGTTCTATTCTAGATAGCATTCAGAGTAGAAACACTTTTTTAATATCTTTTTGTTTTGTATGCATTTTAAGTCAAAATTGTAAAGTCTTATTCAGAAAATGTTCTGTCACTGTTCATTACGACAAAATAGACTATACTCATCGGTACACCGTCCCAGTTCAATACACGAAATATGCACCGGCCGATATACAATTAATACAGAGAGTTTGGTATAACATTTTTAAAATGTTTGTTCCTTTCGTATATAAATATTTCTTTATGTGTATTAAATAGATTTACGATTCGCTTAGTACAATGTACATGTAGTACATTAGTGACTTTACTGATACATGAATATACTGGATTATTTTCATATGAGCTAGTAATAAATCTTTGTGTGTGTTTTTTATATAAGATATTACTGTGTTGTATCACAGTTGAAACAAGGAACTAACTCGCATTACTTACAAACTTCACAAGAGAGTCACTTTCTTACATCAAATAATCTTGATCAAATCATAACTACTGTTTTGAAAGTTTACTGAACAAATTTTCATGAGCTGGTTATAAGAAAGTTGTTCGATATTTTTAGCGAATATGAGTAATAAACAACATGACGGGTACTACATTTTGAGCAGGGTATGCTTACCCTTTCGAAGCATCTGCGATCACGCCTAGTTTTGATGGAGTTCGTATTGCTATTTTTTTCTATGTTTTTTGTAGACTGTTACATTGTAAGCGTAATTTCATTCTACCATGTATTTATTGCTGGTAACTGTTTTTCACTAGAGAATATTGGATGTAAATAGTGTGAAAGCGTCGATCTTGATATCGTTGTTTTGTTTATATTAGACAGGTTTATTGTTTAAATAAATTGATGGGTTAAAATTAGAATACATTTCAAGGAACCAGTTTACTTTACATGATACTGGTTATGTTCTTCTCATATATTTCATGATGGTATGATACTAAACCCCTAACGGGAGGGATTGTGCTTGATTTCCATATGATGAAGACATAATTTTTCAATCAGTTTAATTGAGGTCTGGAGCTGGCATGTAAGTAACTGCTAGTAGTCCTTTGTTAATTTATGTATCATTGTCATTTTGCTTAGTTTCTTTTGTTTCCTATTCTGACATCGGACTCTGACTTCTTTTAAACTGTAAAAATGTGCATATTGCTGTGTATCTGTTTATTCTACATTGGCTAGAGGTATAGGGGAGGGTTGAGATCTCACAAAGCATGTTAAACCCCACCGCATTTTTGAGCCTGTCCCAAGTCAGGAGCCTCTGGCCTTTGTGAGTCTTGTATGTTTTTAATTTTAGTTCATTTATATGTTTCGGAGTTTAGTGTGACGTCCCTTTTTATTTGAGTAATACACATTTTTGTTTAGGGGCCAGCTGAAGCCCGCATCCGGGTGTGGGATTTTCTTGTTGTGTTGAAGACCCATTGGTGGCCTTGAGCTGTTTTCTACTTTTTGGTCGGGTTGTTGTCTCTTTGACACATTCCCCATTTCCATTCTCAATTTTAATTAATCTGAATCAATCTAGCCTAGCGTTTAATGATATAGTTTTAAAGTCGTACAACATAAGATATAATTTTACAGAGTTTTTGCAATAACTTCCGAAATGGATGAGAAGGAATATGAAACAATTCTCCAGTACTTAGAACTGCAAAAATATCCTGAAGATTCAAGTGAAAATGAAAAAAGAAGAATAAGAGCAAAAAAGGACGTATTTGTAATCAAAACACACGATGGAATGGATTATCTGTATACAAGAAATGAGGGACAGGCAGTGGTAACGGATGCGAAGAAAGAAAGTGTGTTGAAAATGTGCCATATTCATTCTGGGAGTCATCTTGGTAGGTTGTTTTCATAATAAATTTGCCCCTGAATATTGGTAATTGACGATGCAGTCCTCATCCTTCCAAATACATCTTGGTTTGTTTGATATCAACGAGAAACTCTTCACTTTTAATTTGACAATAGAATTGATGAGGATATTTTTATAACTCAAAATACTTGTAACACTGATCAGGGCATAGCACTTGATATAGACCAAAGCGCAGATTTGTTCTGACCGGAAGTTTCAATTATAAAAGCATCCTTTGATATTGACATAGAAGATATGATTTTAAGTCGACCAAAACGCAAATGCACAGAAAAACTTCGGCAATCCAGTATATATGAATATTACAATTAGTGACAATTTTAAAGCATAAATATTCATCAATGTATGGATCTAAAACAGTAGTGTAATCAATACCGGTTCAAAATAACTAGTGCAATCATTCCTGATACAAAATCACTAGTGTAATCATTCCTGGTTCAAAATCACTGGTGTAATCATTCCTAGTACAAAAACACTAGTCTAATGTTAACATTCTTTGGATGAAAAACACTAGTTTACTTTGTCAATTTTTTACATAAATCAACTTGCAAGTTCTAGTTAATTCAAATACCCCCAAAAATACAAAGCCCCATTTTTTTTTTATATATTTTCCGTTTTAAAAACTCTATTTAGAATCTTATGATGAGTGTTGGATATTTTACACTGGACCCGGATTAAAAAACCTAGTAAATTTTTGTTGGTGGATAAAAAAACACAAGGAATTTTCATCCTCCGGATAAAGTACACTGGCGGAATCAAACCACTATTACATTACATGTCTTTTCGTTATCTGTCATGGAATTGTTAGTTTGGCTCCGACTTATCAGTTTATATATCCCATGGTATCTTCCGACTCTCTTATTTACCCTTTATTACTAATATTTGTAATATGTGTTCCCTTATACTTTTAGATTAATGAAGAAATGTGTAAAAGGTGATTCAGACAGCAACCCAAAGATAAAAAAAAAACATGAGAAATCTTCTGTTATATTAAGCGGTTAAAGGGATGTTTTTTTTTTATCTTCTGTGAAAGTACTTTTCTTCGTGGGGTACCGTACCAAAATTCGGGGTTTTCGTGGATGGCTTGATCCACGAATTTAAGTGTCCAACGAAATATAACAATTGTTGTCCAAATAAGGACATGGAAAGATCCTTATGTATTATAAATTTTAAGAATCCTCGTTTCTAATGGCTACAAATTTCTTCACTCGACTTTTTTCAGAAAATTAAAATTCACGAATTTAAAAACCAATGAATTCGAACATGTAAATTTTGCTCAAACCACGAAAATTGATACCCACGAATAAAAGTACCTTCCGAGGTACCTTCACAGTATGCAGTTTAACTAATTTGACTTAGCATTCAGTAACTGACTATTTCTTGAACTCGTTTGTAGTGTGTTTAGCTTTTGTTGTACCTATAGTACTTTTTGTTATCCCATTGTTCGAGATCAAATAAATTTAGTTGAGTACTCAAAAATCAATAAATCCAGGAAATGTTGATACGTCGGAAGTCTCTATTTCAAATCATGGATTTAAAAGGTATAATATTTTATAGTCTCTGTTAAATTGATCTTAGTTTTCCAGATAAGTTGGAACGATGCGTTTTACGTATCAAATTGACAATCAGCTAACACTGAAGACCTTGGAGAGACATGTTTATGCAAGCACTGTCTTGAATCCTTTTGAGCTAATACCGATTGAAGTTTAAACCGCATCTCCTTTAATTGATGCAGAAAAGCATATAATACCAGACAAATTATCAATTATTTTGATAATGTCAATCAATATATTGCATATATCTCTTCAGATCTAAAGATATTCCGATAGTTTGTCTTTCCTTATCACAATAAAATTGTAAAATAAATGACTTTTTGCACAATATATATCTTAAATAATATAAAAAATAATAAATACCATGTTCTGGATCTGAAATAGTTATCAGAGCGTCGCTTTGATGAAATCTAGTGCTTGGTAAATGTAAAATTATGATTTTCGTAACATTACATCGCGCTTCTAATATGGATTTTGTCTGATGCAATAACTCTAAAAATAATTAAATTTTGTGTTTTTATCAGAGTTATAAATTTTAATAGATGCATTGGCGTCTTATATGTTAATTTGATGGTCCGATTTAAGGCATCTTGGCAGTGGCTGTTTTCATTATTATGTAATGTTCATTATAAAAATAAGAAGATGTGGTATGATTGCCAATGAGACAATTAGCATGTTTAGCTAATTGGTATTGTTGGTAGGTCTCTTACTGTTAATTCACACTCAACTGGAAGAAGCACAAGACGATTCAAAGCTTGACACATTATATACATGAACATCTGTCTGTTTTCTTTCATCGAGATGTTTTTGTATTTGTTGTTCAGTCACTATTTCAATGGTGTTTATCCAACCCCTCTTTTGAGTTTGTAGTTTAAAAATTATGAGCAATTAAGATCTAAACAATAGCAGTACATTAGTTCATTTGAAAAGAAATTGTTATTTGAGTTTGTGTTTTAATTTTGGTTAAGCTGTCTTGTTCAATGCATAAATGTACATACCCTCAGAGAAGAGATCTAAATATGACTGTTTTCCAATCCATGTTTCGAAAGCCTAGAATTTATAAATAAATATATTTCATTTTATCATTACTGCTGCACAATGTCCTATCATTTCTTACAGTGAAATATTACAAGATAAAAGGAGACACATTTTCAGCTTTTCTGTATTTTGTTGTTACCATACAGTCTTTTCCTAATAAAAGTGTAAATACCTTTTAAAATATATATATCGAATCTACACTTTTGCAAAATAATGTTGATATAATTGAAATTTAACTTTCTTTTTACATTACTCATTGGTTTGCCTGACAGCGAATTTGTAGCAACACAGATTTCTCACTATTGTCATCCGCGTCCGCTCACACTTGTTAATCCGCATTTTAACTCCTTGAAACAAGCTTCATAAACTTTATCCAAGCTTGCATATATGTTCAAGCATGAGTTAACTGTTCATCTTCTTTGTTTTATTTTTGATATACGCAATAATTTAAAGTTACCAAACCAAAGCATAGACTTGACGATTTCTGCTTAAATGTTTTTGGGGTGGGTTCCAATACAAATACATAGAGCTTGGCATTACTGTTAATACATATTTGAAGAGACAGAAGGCGATACCCATCTTCCTTGGAAGGCTCCATTTCTTTAAATTCCTCAAAAACACATTGCATATAAATTCAAAAAGTTACATTTTTGTGCGCGCTTTACGAATTATGATTTTCAAGAGATTATCCCTATGGAAAATTTAAGCATATTGTTATAAAGGGTTTCAAAACTATAGGTGTGATAACCAGTGAGAATTGGATATCGCTTGAAATCATCTCGAGTTATTTAATTTCAATATAATAATAAACCAGCCTTCAACCGATAGCCAATCATCACGAGTTGTAAAGCATATTTCTCTTATGGTCAACATTCTCATTGTGTTAAATTAAAAATTTCGGAAAATCGTTGATCTAGTCTTTTGCACATACCCATACCAGTATGACGTCATATGTCATGTTCACGAATCAAAATGTTAGCAACAGACATTTTAAAACTTTTTAAACGCTTCAAAATGTAACAATATTTGACAAAAAAAAGATTTTCATGTGTAAAGTGTTAGTGTTTTGTATATTATCGAAAAAATCTTTTTCTATTATTCTTTTTTTAAGAGAGATATTTTCAACACACTGCTATTTGTGGACATATAGAATTACTTCTACTTGGACATAACGCGATTGCGCAAGCATCTAGTTCATTTCATTCTAAACATGAAGCTCAGTATTAAACAGTCTATTAACGTCGAACATTTACATATTAAACTTGTACACATACTAATATACAGTTAAACACCACCTATCTTTGTTACATCGAAATTTTTTTCATTTAAAAAAAACCAAGTAAATCCTCGAAAAAGAGAAAATATTCATGTAGCAATTTTGCTAACATATGCCATAAACAAACCATAAACTTAAGTTTGGTCACTGATGCAGGTTCTATGCATTTGAATTTTGCGTTCATAGAAATAGTGAAAATTACACAAATCAGAAACGGAATTTAAGTTTTACTTTGACTTCATTTTTTTACAACAATTAATCACCCAAAATCATTAAAAGTCTCTACAAATAATCTTTGGTATGTTCGGCAAATTTAATGTCAATATTTAAGTCAATAGGATGTGTAACCAACTCTCTTCCGGTACAGTTCCATAACACGGCGTCTCATACTCTGTACAAGCCTTCTGAACTTTAGTTGAACAAATTTATTCCATTCATCAACAACTGCCAAGATTTTGCAAAGGTGGATCTCTGCGATTGAGATTTCTGCAAATGGCATCCCAGACATGTTCGATAGGGTTCAGGTCTGGAGACATGGAAGGCCAAAAGATAGTGTCAATGGCTTCCTGGTCTTTGTAATCGGTTACAATCCTTGCCCTGTGTGGTCTAGCGTTGTCGTCCATGTACGAGGGTCTTGACGCAAGTTGGGGATTACAATGTTTCTAAGCACCAAATCACTTTATGTCTGTCTGTTCATGTTACCCTGCAACCTATGCATACCCAGCTTACAACAGTATGAGAAGAAACCCCATACTGTAACACAACCAACAACGATTGCTGTGGTTGGGCAATTGTTGTTTTGGTGATAGGCAGTTTTCCCCCGCCACACTCGTATTCTGCCGTCTATTGGTCGTAACAGAAACCAACTCTCATCTGACCAATGAATATATTGCCAGGTTCTCATGTTCCATCGTCGATGGTCATTAGCCCTTTGAAACCTGATTATACGGTGCCTGGCTGTTAAGGCACGTCTTTTGACAACACGACGTGCTCTTAGGTAGCCTCTATGAAGTCGACGAACCAATGTTCGAACACTAACACGACCACCTAGAGGCCAGTGGTGTCTAAGCTATGGGGCAGGAGTAAATGGGTTGGCTTTAGTACGACCAATAAGTAGTCTGTCATCACGATAGGTAGTTAAACGGGGTCTTCCGGACCTTGGTCTATCATTTACAGTTCCTGTGTCAATATGACGTTGTAAAATCTGACAATGACGGTGCGATTAACATTGAAATAGTTACCAATGCTCCTAGTGCTCCTACCGGCATTTGACATGTCAATTGCTTGTCAACGTTCAGTCACAGATAACTTACCGCTTGCCATATTTCACAGTGACTTGGTGAAGGTCAAATTTCACCTGTACGCGGGACAGTAGGAAGATGATTTAAAGGCATCGAAACAGTGTATTTGTAAAAGTGCAGATGACCTTTAATAATAGGTTGCTTGGCGGGTATATCGGAGTTTAATTTTTTTGGTTGTAATGAATTTTCTTAGTGTATGCTGTAGGCAATTCATAGCACCAAACATAAATATTTTTTTCGCAATAGTTAAAAAAATATTGACAGTTATATTTAGGTGGTGCTTAACTTTTGGCCGACTGTATATAATGTATTATACCTCGATTGACCTCTTATCATCTGGATGCAATACCACTATCATTTCTTTCAAATTAATGTGCCTACAATGAAACTTAAATTTGCAAAACGCATTTCGCATTGTCCGAGCTACGTCATCCCAAGGGTATTTCAGCTTGCCAGTTCCCAAAACTGGGAATGCTATACTATTGCATTTGTCTTTTTCCGCTTGTATAAGGCAGTTGTACACTGCTTGTTCAAAAATCTAAAATAAGAAAAGATGATTCATATTTATCATATCATAAGAATAATCCTTACATGTACGTTACTATATTGAGGAAGAATTGTACATGCATATTATGCTCATCTTTTCAGAGCACCTGATTTTACCTATCTTGTCATGGGATTTGTGTTACTAAATCTTTAGCAGTCTATGTAGTTCTTTGCAGAATGATCTTTGTTTTGTCGTTTTTGTTTATTGCCATGGTATTTACTGTTTTATTTCATTGATGTTTTTATTTCCTCCTTTTTCTAAAACAAAAATCTTTCTGAAACTAAATGACATCTTATATACAGTGAATTCATTGTTATTCGTTGAGGAAAAATTTGTGTGGATTTGGTTGGTATAGATGTCAATTTTCCACAAGTATTATTTATTAAGCTTGAATACTGACTTTATGTATATATAAAAATGTATAACACGAAATCAAATTTCCACCACAAAAATACAATATTTCCTCAATCTACCAAAAAATAGTGTCCGCGAAAATACATGAATCCAGAGAATTGTAAAACATGTAAAAATTGACATTTTTCACACGATGGTAAATTTTCCTTTTTTTGGAATCACGCGTTCCGAGCGGAAATAAACCATGCGCAAAAGTTTGTTCAAACCTACAAATACTGATAAGAAATGCAAACTTTGTGTCTGTTTGAGCGCAAACGTCTGTTTGTGCATTGAAATATCTGAAAAATAATAACCTGCATATTTATTTTACGTTAACAACATATTACTAAATTCTAGCAACTTCAATTTACTTGTTTGCAGTTATTTTATGTATGTATAATCATATTAAAATATAATGCAGTACTGTTTGTTGTTTTCAAAAACCGGAAAGGTAAAAATATAATCTTCTCGCAATGCACGACCGTTGCAGGGACAAACTAAAGGTTGACATTTTTCCTCACATTTTTATTTACCTTCTTTGAAAATTCAGCATTAACTGTCCATGATGGTAGAGCAAAATGATAAATATATTTCCAGCATTTTTCTCCAGACGTTATCGCCAAGCTGCCATAGTCAATGCCATTGGGATATTTCTCGTGACATTTCTCAGCAAGAGAATTTCCAACTTTCTTCAATATTGACAATGATACGGCTCCTTTTTTAAGCTGCAGCTCTTTGTTTGTACTGTTAACTATGATATCAGTCTAGAACGGTAATAAGAATGAAACAGTCTGTTTTATTTAAATTTGAGACACAGTGCCCTTAAAAACAGTAATGTCATAAACCTTTTGAAAAGCTATAATGACCATCAAACAGAGACGAAATGACGTGGATCTAAGTAACTATACGTTACTTTCAATAATTAACAAAACCCTAAACGTACAGTAAACTATAAAAGACCGTAAAAATGAAAACCAACCCATACATGAGGACCTACAGCTGGTTTCATTATAATATTAAATAGTGGGTAATTTATTAGGGGCATATAATTTATAATAACGATTAACTTAATAAAGCTTTTCATCTATAACTCGGTCAGCTAATTGAAAAACCTCTAAATTGCATTGTGATTTTGACTTGCTGATACATTTTTAATAAAAAAAAACATTGTTCATAAAATAAATGCCTCCGAAGTATATTTGTTCCACATCCTGCTAAATAATATTTCAAATTTTACTACCTTTTGGTCAATAATGTCTCCTTGTGTCCATCGAAAAGTTACATCTACGGGATTTTCTGGAAATGAAAAGTGTAAAGCCTATTCACTGATTGATTTGTTAAGATATATTTGATGTTGTTTTTTTCTTGTGACAAACAATTTTGTCCGACGTCATGAATATAAAAAGACACAAGAACTTGTTCCATTTAACTCTTTCCCGCAATTTTCAAGATAAACGGATTATTCTGTTCATTTTCCTTGAGGGACAAATCATTTGTTAAAGGAATTTAGAATCTAACAAATAAGAAAAAAATATCTCCCGCAAAAAAAAAAATATATATTTTCGGTACCTTGCTGCTATTTAATGCAAAGTTGACATATAAATGTTTGGTTCATTCCTTTGTACACACGGAATTTAAAAAAAATATTTTAATTGTGCACAATGAACATTTAAATTACTTCTAATTTATTTTCTTGGACATTTTCAAGATTCATGATAACAAATGGACAGCAATGGCTGTTTTTTTCACCTTATAATCTCTGAGTTCACACAAACTGTGCAGTAGGAAAAGTTTTAAAGAGCACTTGAGATCACCCCCAGTTTTTGGTGGGGTTCGTGTTGCTCAGTCTTTAGTTTTCTATGTTGTGTTTTGTGAACTATTGTATGAGTCTTTTTCTTTTTAGCCATGGCGTTACCAGTTTATTTCGACTTATGAGTTTGGTATTTTTGGTATCTTTGGTCTCTCTTTTACTACATTGTAGTTATAAAAAAGTTAAATGCGTTTTGTGTTTCAGAAAAATAAAATCTTTTTGGGATTTTGATGGGCATTTTGTTTTGTTCCTAAAAAAAGGTGTAAAAAAAACTAAGATGAATTAAATCTTTGAAATGTTCCCTCTCAGGTAACAACTGTATTTTATTGTATTGATTGACATTTAAAATTGAAGGACAATATATATCTACACAACAAAATCAATGTGTCGTTAAGTCTATGAAAAGGTATGTGCTATGAAATTTAGAGCGAGAGGCTTGCTCCGAGCCCTTAATTTTATAGTATTTACTTTTTCATAGACTATCAAATTGAGCACATATTTACAACCCAAGTAATCGTTTAATTAAATGTAGTTTATTGATAGTTTATTTTGGCTGACTGCTTATATCCCAAGGTGTTTTTAAAACGGAGTTTATTAACTAAGTTTTATGTTTTGCAAATTTACTCATTAGTATCAAAGTTTTCATATTTTTTCAATTTGTGACAGTGATTTACCATATCATGAGTTTATACATGCTGGAAACACGAACAGGGCAAAAAGTTTATAAGTCAATTTCACATAAAATATGTGATTTTTAAAGACCCTTGACTCCAGAATGTATAAATGGTAGCTGCTGTTGTAAGTATGTATATCTATATATAGCAGCGTCTTCTACATGTAATTATTTACATGGTAAGCTGATAAAACAAATTAACCAAAAAAACAGGCATATATAATTAAATTGCATAAGAAGCTTTACATGTTTTGAAAAATAAATTCAATTTCACAGTAAAACTTAAGTTAAAAAAAAATTTGAAAAATATAGATATATGTGCCATAGATAGTTTAGATCAAATTAATAGAATATAGGTTTTTTTACCATTTTAAAGTAAAAACTAAAAGCGTTATCAGAATATAGGTATAGGAGGCACATTCCTTTCAGACGTTATCACGGTATTTCAATTTTGTTCCTTAACAAAGTTAAAAAAAATCATCATCGAGTTGCCTTTATTTCCCTTCACAAGCTTTCATAGTATATACTTTTTTTGTGTACAAATTAATTGCATGGATGATAAATTACCACAATTATAAAATAGCGTTGTACTATAACCAAGGTATTAAGGACCATATTTGTTACTTTTTATTTAAAGATAGAAATTTGCAATTATCAAAAATATCTTAATCCAAAGATTTTAATAGCAGGATGTATAAAAATCAATGTGAAAATAATTACAAACATTTTTTTTTCAATTCGGGACACAGCATTTTATTCGAAAATAGCCAGTGGCAATTTTTTTGTTTAATATCTTGATTACGATACACTAAAATCTAACTTTTGTGGTCATTCATGCAAAGTTACTTAGTACACGGAAAAAGTATGTATTATGAAACTTAGAAAGCAAATTCAAGCAATTTGATTAGACGAGAAGTTGTAAGTATGGGCTAAAAAAGATTTCATATTTCTGAAACGCAAAATGCACTTAACTTTTATATATGTAGTGGATGCGAGGCCTTAAAACTTTTTCCCAAATGCTTAGGTTAGTCTGGACTCCGAGGAGTTTTTGAGTTGGCAACACTGTCATGTTTGTCCATTTGTTATAACGCACCTTACTGTACACTGTCAGGTAAGTAAAACCGGTGTGTAAGTGAGGAAGAATTTAATGTGAAAACAATGTCTATTGCCCGAAACTATTTTTAAATAGGTACTCAACGTTTGTTGTGAACACGGCATAACTCTATTTTAAACATAGCACAGGATTTAGAAATTAAAACTGACAACATTTCATACAAGAAAACAGTAAAACAAATTTCTATCATAAAATCTCCGGAATGTTTCCCAAATGTAACTCTTATTGAAACATAACAGACATGATTGTATAAGAAAACTGACAAATTGTAACGACCAAACAAATTAATTAGTCAAAACATTTGTCAATACTATCCAAGAAAATACAGAATGAATTGAAATATCCAAAATATTTCACGACACAAACAATTTCAAATATTGATACAGGGGTTGGTCAAATGCTGTAATTGGTTTTGAGTCAATAATATCACTTAGAAAATGATTTTTAGAAAAATCGCAAATAAGATCGTGGGGATCGAGGTTGATTAAGGTAAAAATGTAACAGATGATTTCCTTGAGGAAGTATTTCCTGAAACATGTACATGAACCTGTAAACTGATATTGCTGATTTTAATGGCCAAACTTCTCTGCATTAAAAATCTAGCGTACATTTTGGGCCTAATTTGTAATCATTAAAAACTATATCCTTGATTCCATCTCAAAATTAGAAGGTTGACTATAATATTAAATATAAATTTTACATTCTATGATGAAAAGAAAACAGCTAAAACATAAAATACAAAAAAAAAACAGTTTCCTAGTAAAAAATAAAATGAAAGCTATTCAAGTTATTCTACCAAACAAAATTAATAATATAAAAACCTACATGCTATACATTTAAAAACATAGAAGAAATATTAAATGAAAAGTAAAAAACAAGCAACACATTTACGAATATTGAGTCCTAAATAGAAAAATCTTATTTCTGCGGATATATTTGGTTAAATCAGCGTTGAACTTCATAGATTTCTGCAGGAATACTGTTATCCCAAATTTTGTTTATTATTTTATGTTTTGTTATTAAAATGCTACCAAGTAATAAAATTAGTAAGGGTTGTTACACCAACGACAAAGAATGTGACAGAACAATCGGAATATCTTGACCATTTAAAAAAAAAATACTTGTTTACCCGGATTTTAAACAAAACATGGTTTCACATTCTCCCCTAATTTTCCGACAAAGCCAAATACACTGACATTTCTATCCGATGAATTCGTATCCAATCAGCATTGTAAGACAAATATAGCAATAATATTTGCAATATGTTTAATAAACCGACAGCCTTCAAACTCCGAATGACCCATCTATTTAGATAGCTTCCCTTCGATGCTATGGATGGACGTTATCGGTATCAATCATGTTAATCGGGAGGTCTTAGGTAATTATTTTCAAGAATCTGATTTTATCATTTCCACAATCAGATATTGGTATGCATCATATACATTTCGTATATATGCTATGCAATATATAAAAGTACAGTCAAAAATAATATTTCAATTTCTTTTTATTTTGTCTACAGATTAACTGACTAATAGAAACATGCCATATACATTCGCCGTATAATGCTGATGCTAGATGACGTGCGAAGTATAAAACATAATTTATTTTCACAATGCTTTTTCCAATCGAGTTTGTATGTCTTTAATAGATAAATTTTTTTTTCCTGTGATACGAGCTATGACATCTTTCAATGTAGTACGGACAAAACAAAATCATCCGTAGTAATTGTAATCAATCGGTCGGGAGATAAGTTCAGAATTCTTAGCGCTGTGTTGTGCGGTCTTCAAGCAGCGATACATTTGTACTGCTTATAGAGTATGTTTTCTAGAATAGAAAACATCATGGTAAAACAACTCATCAACGATATAAGACTTATAATGTTTTACAGCAGAAAACGTGTGCAAGACATGTCCAACGCAATCTTTAACTAGGGTAGAAAAACCTATGTGCTTCAAATAATTCCAAATTTTGTAAACAGAAAATGACCGTTTCGTGTTATCGTCTCAGTGGAAGTACAATCTCTTCAAAGATATCCGACTGTTAATATATTACGCCAGACGCTCCTTGGGTCGACATTAGACACATCAGTGGCGCAATAATCACATCAGTTGGACGGTGAAATTAAATACGAGTTGAAGAGCAATGAAAACCAAAATAATCAAATGTAACGACACATGGTTATGTTTGAAACTGTAATTCTAAAAAAGTTGTTTGATTTATCATAAAGTAAAGTAACATATTAAGTAGAAAATATTTCAATGCTGTGTCAGCAAAAATGTGCAACCTTCTATGTCAGTACGATCAATAAAGATGCTTTCGAAACAACTTTTGCATTTAGATAATCACCCTTATATTTAACACCGTTTCGTCATCTTAACATTTAAAAAGCATCAAAATAATTCAAAAGCAATGACATGTCAATACAAAAACATTTTCGAATTCGATATTAATCAGAATAAGGAAAAGGTGTTTCTGTACTATATATATTTCACTTACCCTTGTCCTTTAAAGGTTTATCTCTATAGGTAGGTACTTTACTAAAATCGTAAAAGTTTAGTGAATTTTGTCCGCTTTTCAACATCATAGTTAATTTTTCGGTCATCTGGATGTCCTCATAGCACAAATAAATAACTTTCAAATATTTCAGTTCTGGCTTATTAAATGCTGCATTGAAATGTTGTAATAACGTAACTTCAGGTAGGCTGTCACACATTTTCAATGGTATTGCTAGGCTGTTAAGCTTTTCTTCCTCTACTTTGGAAAACATTTCTTGTAAATGTTGTTTAACTTTGTCTTGATCTGGCATCGCTAAGTAGGGTAAACCCCAAAACAGCCTCTTAGGAGATTCATTATCTATACTGTCTATTTGTCGATCACCAATAAATATCAAAACAAATGCAATCATCTTTTACATATTTTTTTCTGTTTTGTTCTCATTACTCTTTAGATAGACGAAGACTGTCATAGAAGTTGTGGCCAAGAAGAATTTGAATTAATTTCGGTAACCAGTTAAAGATCAGAAAGAAAGTAAAACATTCCTTGTCCTCTCTCAAAATAAAAAAAGATTGAAGCCAATTTTTTTTATATTTTCCAATGAATTCCAGACAAATAATTTTTACTGGCATTCGTGATTAACTCTGGTTGATGTTGTTTTAGATATTTGACAGGTTGTTACTGGGTTTGCAATGATCAATGATATATTTTACAATTTATGTCAAATATGTGAAATACTTATAAACTTTCGAGTTTACTACAATTAATACGATATATTTTAGACCATACCTGTACAAAATAACGTATCATAGAAGTTTGACTTGTAAGAACACATATTTAAGGAGCTTTTGTGTATAACACTAGAATAAGTTTTTTAAGAGCTATATTTACACAATAGCCCGTTTCTATAAAGTCAGAGAAAACCGATATTTCCGAACCCTTCCGGCAAAAAAGCTTAATTCAAAAGCAAAAAAAACTTAAGGTAATGAAAAATTGAAGAGATGTTCTTGTATCACACTGAACGTCGTCGGTAATTGTATACCATTTAATTTTCTAATATCAATCAGGTATTCACATTTTGTCACAAAAGGGCCATTTATATCTGGCTATATGGTATGGGTTTTGCTCTTTGTTGAAGGTCGTACCGCAATCTGTTATTGTTCTGACACATCTTTTTCATTTGATATTTGTTGATAGTTTTGTAGGTAGCAATCATACCACATCATATTATTTTTTGTTCTGTGATTAGTGTACACTGCACACTATTTCGAATGATATTTACCCATCGGATCAGAAACGCAAACAACAGAATCCGCTAAAAGTGTTGCAGCAGTTCTGCATACCAAAACAACGTGAATACTTTTATCCCAATTCACACACTGAGCTACATATTGTATAGACGGATGTTGGATTTCTAATGATAATTTACATTTAAACTGTTTTTCTAGATGACGTAAATGCTGCAAGATATTTTGGTACAGTGTATTCTCGTTTGTGATGTAACATGACCATTTTTTAGTTGCTTTTTTCATAACACCTGTAATGAATTCAACAATAAAGTATTTTTAATAATGAAATAAAGAAATTGTAGTTTAAAATATCACTACAGATTGCAATAACTACTATTTTTGGGAGCGTTTAACGACCTTGACTATCCATGAGGGTCTCGCACGGGTTGGCATACCATTCCATATTACGGGTGAAAATTGAGGACCCTTCACAACTTGAATGTGGATTTTCGTTTTTAGGCATCATATGACAAAATTTCAAGCACCTAAAAATACAGATATTCGAAATTTGTTATCATCTTAATCCCAAAATAACAAATACAATCGAGTCTTATTACCGTCTTTATTCTAAAACGTCAGTGTCCTTGCAAACTTTCATTTTAAGAACTAAGAACATTAAATCGTCAGCATTTAAAAAAATATGACCGAAAATAAACAAGTGAAATAGAAAGTATTCACGAATACCCCAAAACTAATAAACTAATTTTGATCTGAAACGGTCATTTTGATCTGAACAGCTCGTAAAAGACTGAACTATAAATCATTACGTCATTTAGCTTTCTAGGTTGTGTTTTGTATATTGTTTTTTTCTTTACATCGTTTTTTTTTCCCATGACACAGATTGTTTTCGACTTATGAGTTTGAATATCCCTTTGGTATCTTTCGCCTCTCTTTTAAAGTCTTTCGGTCGATTTTCTCTGAACTGTTCAGATAGTTCGCTTGCAGCCAGTTAAGATATGTTCAGTCTTTGTTTAGACCTGTTCAGAAGTTGTTAGTTACCTGTACGCATCAACATCATACTGAATTATCTGAAAAGCTACTGAACATTAGTAAATTGACTGCAAGCGAATTTGCTGAACAGAACAGAATTCATTGTAGTGGATAAATCTGAAAATTGAATAAAAGACTGAATATGACGGATTTATTTTGTGTTCAGACAATTCAGATGATGCTAACATCAACATTCATGTTTAAGACTAAAATTCATTTACCAGTGAACCTCGGAAGTGTTTCCTTATATGCGATTTTGAGCTGTATTTGTATTTTGTATCTGACTTTTTACGATAATTTGGTATTTTTCGTAGAACTAATTCAACGGATACGCTTTTACTCTTAAAAAGGCCGAAAATTTTCAAAGTTGACAATGTCCATTAGTTCAAAAACAGAAAAAAATAACATGTTTAATTCAACTATATGTAAACAAATTGTTGATGAGACGTCGATGTGTTTGTCTGTTTTGGGCATATATATAATCCCAATTGAAATAACCGTCGTCAAATAATGTCAAAATGGCCGCTTTGCAAATTTGCACCCAAATAACACACTAAAAAAAAAGAGAAAAGAACAATATGAAATATAAGGATAGAACAAATTTTAAATATTCCAATAAAAAACGAAAATTATAATTTGGATCGTTTTCTAATTGCAATCAAATTGATAATGATCATACCTGAAAGTGATATTTCACAATCTGCTTCATTATACATGTTATATTTCAGTTCCACATTATCAACTGCCCTGTTAATATCTCTGTTTATCTCGAGAAATCCTACAATATGGATTCTACCTTCATGATCATAGAAAAAGTCTACTAGGTTATCTTCCACTTGCGCTGATAAATTGCATAATAAAGAATCCTTAGATCTACTCGTCCTTGGTGCAATTTGTATAACGAGTTCCTCGGCCTGATTTCTTAAAATATCAGTTATCTCACTAAATATAATGTTTTTATTTGAAAGCATTTCCACAACCACTTCTTCTGTAGAATATGTCAGATTGCATTTGTCAAAGTGCTTTTCAATGGCTTCTTTAATTTCCTCAGAGTGTTTTTTCAGAAGAAACTGCATTTTTATTGGTGCAATATTATCTGTTATGTCCCTACTTTCTACTAATCCAGTTTTGTGTTTTAATTTAAGCTCCAGTTTCACCCACTCCTTAGTAAATACAACATCAGGAAGATTTATATCATCTTTGCCTTTCTGTAATTCTAAAACAATGCATTGTAACACATGACTTAACAACTTATTTAAAAAAAAAAACCAATGGAAACAAGGGTTCCTTCATTGATAGATTCTAAACTTCAAGCACGATATAAATAAACTAGTGTATACAACCACTGGGTCGATGCGACTGCTGGTGGACGTTTCGTTCCCAAGGGTATCACCAGCCCAGTAGTCAGCACAGCACTTTTGTGTTGACATGAAAACTCATTAATATTGAACATTAATTGTATATAATGTGTTGAATTATTTGAAACATATGGTTTTTCTACCAAAGGTATAGATTGCGTCAGCTGTATTTGGCACAACTTTTGGGAATTTTTGGTTTTTAAAGCTTTTTTATTTGATTTGGCCTTCCAAGTCTTATAAATCGAGTTCCAGATGAGTCCTAAGTATACGAATCGCGCATCTGGCGTACATAATTATGAATCTGGTATTTGATGTGTTTATAAAGTAAGAACTTATCAAAGCGTTCATCTGCTAATGTGTTATAAGTAAATCATGTTTTTTTTATTTCCAAAATTACATATACTAATTCGACCAAAGTACTAGCGTAGTGTTATATTCTAAATGTATTGCCGTCTCAGTTAAAATCGTACACAAATCAGTAAAGCTATGAATAAAATGACTTGGTGGATATCTGGCAACGTGAGATCACCTCAACGACACTATCAATTATAGCTTACACTGCTTAACCATTTCAGAGCACCTGATTCCAACCAGCATGCATTGTGGAGTTCGTATTGCTTTAGCTCGATCCTTAGCTTTTTAATAATGATCTGTGAACAATGATTTATAATGTTTATTCATTTCTTTTTTTTTTAATCGTCTGTGTGTCTATTGTCGAGAATAATGTTTATTGTCATTTTTTACGTTGGAAAAATAAAGAGATGTGGTATGATTGTCAATGAGACGATTATCCACCAAAATTCAAATGAAGTGGATGTAAGCAAATATAGGCAGCCGAACAGCCTTCAACAATGAGAAAACCCCATACCGAATAGTCGGCTATCAAAAGCCTCTACATGAAAAATATGAAACAATTCAATTGAGAAATCTAACGGCATAATTCATTACAAAACAATTTACAAAAAACAACTATGACAGACATGTACCAACTTCAACCACTGAACTACAGGCTCCTGACTTGGGACAGGAACATAAAGCATGTGGCGGGGTTAAACATGTTTGAAGGCGCCAGACCTTCATAACCTAGGACAGTGGTGTAACAGTACAACATAGTTCTAATTCCGTTATATTCCCTGTCAGAGTTTAATATCTCCTGAGCTGCGAAGAAGATATATCCCTTGTGAAGCCCGAATAAGAATTTTATACTGAAATGTCCTAATTTTAATATCTATTACCATTTTTATCTTTGTTTTCCTTCACAAGGGATATGGTCTCATATTCTCTGTTCAGGTAACCAATCAAATTGAATGATTAACCGGGATATTTGATGTATTACTATATTAATGGGACAGCAACGAAACGTACGGCCTTCAAGGATGAGACAAAATTATATCGGAGAATAAGCTTAACCTATTTTTTTATAAAACAAAGTCCGGGGATGAAAAATAATATATCGCATTTCAAAAATGAAAACAAACAGCCTGGTTAATGCAACAACAATTCTAGTAATCGAAAATCAATTTTGGCAGACATCAATCAACGGCAATCAATAAATAAAAGTCTTCTGACTAGGTACAGTTACAGTTTAGACTGCCATGTATGACTTGAATCTAGAAATTAAGAATGAGGATCGATTGAAAACTAAACTTTACGACATAAGAGAAGATTTCAGCTTTCCAATTGTGAACTTTCCATTTCTATGTTTGTTTCACCGATGACAACGGATATGT